AAAGATGCAATCGTGTTGATGCCTCATTGGATGGCGAAAAAAACTCTACCCGTGGCAATATCGCTTTGGCCTATGGCTTTTTACAGTCAACCGACTCGCTAGATTAAGAACGAACTGTAGCCATTGCATGGCGGAGATTGCCTAGTAATCAGTCTCGAGAGTGCCTATTTATCAGTTAGCTTACTGATAAAAAAAACTGCCTTTGAAAGACTATATGTAACAGAGCATTGCACTATCCTGTGGTTATTGGTCGTCATAAAGGTGGAATTTGACAGTCGGCTGACGCAAGTTAACTCGAACTGCCTGCGAGTTCGCATTCGTACAGCTCAATTTTCCAGTGAACAGTCGCGAAATGTAATGCTGTCAATCAACTTGCCTTTCTGAGGGCACCACTGCATTATCCACACCTAAGGAACAATTCAAACTCTTAATTTTAAATTGGCAGCCAGCACAGTCTGAGTGCTTGGTGCTATGATTACGCAGGATTCTGCCAGTAATAAAGCGGACGAATCAAGAGATTAAATTACAGATGGAACATACAAAAACAAGCTGCGGGTAACCAATTAACCTGTGATAGGGATAACTTCACAGGACTTTGAGGAACCCATCAGTAAAAGGTCGACCCACGATTCGGTGGCTCACACAATTATCGTAGACCAGGACCCCGTCAACAGCAGCTTATGCTGCATCCGCTAGCGTAAAGCATATGCTGACGCCAGACCAGTGCTATCTGATTCCTTTTCACTAGCCAGCTACTCAGATGTGTCTATCTGGGAGGACACAGCTAAAAGAAAGTGACCAGCCCTTCAGGCTTGCTACAACATTGTGTTCGGCGGAAGAAAATACTACCGGAGCGGATAAGCGGCAAGCATAAGTAACCGGGTCATTTGAGTGTTTTACCAGGTTATCGTTAACTGGCAGCACACTAAACAAAGGAACAACATGATCTCGCGGCGTCAGCCAGGCGTGTATATTGCGACTCAATTAATCAGCCGCAACAACTCCGCAAGCAAGCAGCCATCGCGATTGGCGTGTTTTGGGCCTCCATCGTCCAAGCGTAAAGCGATCGATCTAATCTCAACATTAATTCGTTCTCGTTTAGACGCCATTTCGTCAGCAGAGTGCTAACGCTCCCCCCCTCGATGCAAACCTAGCGGACGTCAATTAGTCACCGACCTGGTCGTGGGGTCAAACGGTGGTAGGGTGATGGCCAGCGCTGCAGCGGTAACCCGGCGAGTCGAACACACAAAGCGCGACTGGGGGGAGGAGGTTAACTTGAACTGACCTGGGGTCGTGGCGACGGCAACAACAACCGTTTCAGAAACTCGAAGCCTTGTTTTCTCACAAGAAATTAGAACAACGCAAAGGCAACGAGGTTCGCCGTATTTAATGGAGTCATTCAATTTCGTGACGTTTTATTCAGCTGCATACGGCTGCTGCCCTGGCCTTGGCCTCCCTTTTTAATCACGCTTGACAGGCTTTCACTTCAACCCGAACTGCCTTGCTCCGGTAACTGCCTTCGCCCTCACCATGCACATCAGCATCTACGACCAGCAGCTCTTGCTCTTTTTACCTATCAAGTTTCAGCCTTCTAGGTCAATGCTTAATTGAACGGTTTGTTTCGTCTCGTAAATGGGCAATGACCGTATGCAGTTGAAGAAATGATCACGAAAGAGTATGACGTCATTAAATTCGGCAAAACTCGTTGTCTTTGCGTTGCTCATACCGTTTACGGTGACGAGGGGCTTTTTGTGAAAAGTAGATAGGGTCGTAACAGCAGCCGGAAAGGCTGGTGAAGTCAAAGTATCCAATCAAGTCTAACCTAAATTGGTTTTACAGAGAAGACAGCGATCGCCGTTTGTGGCCTAGTTGCCATCTTCCGGTGATCTTGGCTGAGCAAGTTAAATAAGATTTGCGCAGCGGAGTGTACAGGGTGTCCACAAAGTCTGGGTACATAGGAATTTTAATATTTTATTAATTTATGTTATTTTTGTAG